CCACACTGAATCACAAAGGTAAAATACTGTTTCAGTACTAGTTATAGCACTTATCTTTATATTGGACAACACATTAAGGACAGAGATCTTACATGAGGAGTAAGTACACAGTGACTCCTGTTGTTGACTTAACAATTTGATATTCTTGTTTACTGCGTCAGTAATCTCCCTAGGCTCTAGTCATGAGTTGCCAAGGCTATGGAAGCCTTTTGAGTTCCCCGACTTCGATCTAGTCAAAAGTGGAAGTTCTGTCCTCCCTTCAGAGAAAGGTACCTCCTTCTTTGATGGCCCTGTTCTTTCCACTGGGATCTCACTCGCAGAGATCTTTCATTTAGGTTTTTTTTTCCAGGGTGTCTTGGCTTTCCATGCCTAAAATACTCTCATGGGCTGTTCAGCCAGAACCTCATGACTTAAGGGCTGATTCTGAGGCCAGAGTGCTATTTAGGACATCTGCCATTCTACGAGTCTGCTGTGTATCCCGCTTCCCATGATGGATCGTTCTCTCCCTTTTTGATTCTATCAGTTAGTATCAGCAGACACTAGTCTTGTTTTTGTGATCCCTTTGACTCTTAGACCTATCAGTGTGATCAACTGTGAACTGAAGTTGATCACTTGGACTAGTGAGATGGCATTGGTACATGCCACGTTGATGGGATTGTGTTGGAATCCCCTGGCACGTTTCTAACTCCACCACTTGGGGCAAGGCTGATTGAGCATGTCCCAAATTGTACATTTCCTCCCTCTCTTATTCCCACTCTTATATTTAACAGGGATCACTTTTCAGTTAAAATTTAAACACCTAAGATTAATTGTGTGTTAATTACAGAGTTCAACCAATAGTACTAGAAGAAAACAAAGAAAAAATACTAAAATGGATATTGTGATGCCTCCGGCTTTGTTTTTGTTGTACAAGATTGCTTTAGCTATTCGAGGTCTCTTGTGCCTCCATATAAATTTCAGCACCATTTTTTCCAGATCTGAGAAGAAGGTCTTCGGTATCTTGATTGGTATTGCATTGAATCTGTAAGTTGCTTTTGGGAGAATGGACATTTTGATGAGATTGATTCTTCCAATCCATGAGCATGGAAGATTTTTCCATTTCTTGGTATCCTCTTCTATTTCTTTCTTTAAGGTTTTGTAATTTTCATCGTAGAGATCTTTAACGTCTTTGGTTAAGTTTATTCCAAGGTATTTGATTGTTTTTGTAGCTATTGTGAATGGGATTGATCTTAGAAGTTCTTCCTCAGCCATGGCATTGTCTGTGTATACAAAGACTGTTGAATTTTGTGCATTGATTTTATACCCTGCTACTTTGCCAAACTATCTATGAGTTCCAATAGTCTCTTAGTAGAGTTCTTTGGGTCCCCTAAATAAAGAATCATATCATCTGCAAAGAGGATAGTTTGAGTTCTTCCTTCCCAATTTGTATCCCTTTAATTTCTTTTTCTTGCCTAATAGCTCTGGCTAGAACCTCCAGAACTATATTGAATAGCAGTGGTGAGAGTGGGCATCCCTGTCTGGTACCAGATCTCAGTGGAAATGCTTCCAACTTTTCCCCATTCAATAGGATGTTGGCTGTGGGTTTTTCATAGATTGCTTTGATTGTATTGAGGAATGTTCCTTCCAAACCCAGTTTGCTTAGAGTTTTCATCATGAACGGGTGTTGTATTTTATCAAATGCTTTCTCGGCGTCTATTGAGATAATCATATGGTTTTTCTTCTGCAGTCTGTTAATGTGGTGTATCACATTGATTGTTTTGTGCACATTAAACCATCCCTGCATACCAGGGATAAATCCCACTTGGTCTGGGTGGATGATCTTTCTGATGTGTTGTTGCATTCTATTGGCGAGAATTTTATTGAGGATTTTTGCATCTATGTTCATCAGGGATATTGGTCTGTAATTCTCTTTCAATGCTGCATCTTTTTCCGGCTTAGGAATTAAGGTGATGCTGGTTTCATAGAAAGAATTTGGGAGGATTCCCTCTCTTTCAATTGTTCTGAATAGTTTGAGAAGAATTGGAGTCAGTTCTTCTTTAAATGTGTGGTAGAATTCAGCAGTGAATCCATCTGGTCCTGGGCTTTTCTTTGTCGGGAGGGCCTTTATTACTGTTTCAATTTCTGTCTCAGGCTCTTGTCATGAGCTGCCAAGGCTATGGAAGCCCCCTGAGTTCACCGACTCTGATCATATTTAGACAAGGCCATGGTCAAAGTAGAAGTTCTCTCCTCCCTTCAGAGAAAGGTACCTCCTTCTTTGATGACCCATTCTTTCCACTGGGATCTCACTCGTGGAGATCTTTCATTTAGGTCCCCCCCCCCCCCCCACCAGAGTGTCTTGGCTTTCCATGCCTGAAATACTCTCATGGGCATTTCAGCCGGATCCGCATGCCTTAAGGGCTGATTATGAGGCCAGAGTGCTGTTAGGACATTTGCCATTCTATGGGTCTGCTGTGTATCTCACTTCCCATGTTGGATCGTTCTCTCCCTTTTTTATTCTATCAGCTAATATTTGCAGAAGAGTAACATAGAGAAGGAGAGGCAGAGAGAGAGGACTTCCATCTGTTGGTTCACTCCTCAGTTGGCTGTAACAGCTGGAACTGTGCCGATCTGAGCCAGGAGCCAGAAACTTCTTCTGGGTCTCCCACTTGGGTACAGGGGCCCAAGGACTTGGGCCATCTTCTACTGCTTTCTCAGGCCATATCAGAGAGCTGGATTGGAAGTGCAGCAGCCGGGACTCGAACTGGTGCCCATATGGATGCCAGCGCTGCAGGTGGCAGCTTTACCCGCTACGACACAGCGTTGGCCCCATCACACTGAAATGTCTTCAATCACCTATATGGGGTGGAAGAGTTTCTCTGGGGAGTGCCTCATGTAGATTTTGAGAGTACTTTTTGTCTTGCCTCTTTTTTCCAACTAAGCTTGGAAACTCCCAAATTAATGGTCGTTTTGGAGATAAATCAGTGCTGTTCATAAACATTTGTTGAGTACCCTGTTGAAGGAATAATATAAAAATTAAAAATGCCCATCCAAATACTTTATTCGATAATGCATTTAAATGTATTTCAAACAGGCAATGACAGCTGTCAGTGACTCATCTTAAGTTTAACTTTTATCAAAGATCTGGAATAAATTTAATTTTATCAAAGGTTTATAGTTGTGCTACCTATACCAGACACTGCTAGACTTGAACACTTGTTACAAATAAGTTAAAAAAAAATGAAACTCTCCTTTGTTCTGTTTCTTTGTCTCCAGATGGTCTCCCAGCTTGAAGCTCAAATATCTGAGCTTGTTGGACAGTTGGGCAGCGAGTCTGGGTCTCACCAGAAAGCTCTCCAGAGGGCCCGGAAAGCAGAAAACCAGTTGGAGACTCTGCAGGCCCGGCTGACACACCTGGAGGGAGAGCTGGTTTCTGGAGATGTTCTGCGGGACAGCTTGAATTTTGAGAAACAAAAAGTAATACCCTGAGGGCATGCTCCTGGGTGGAAACATCTGTTGTGATACAAAGCTTTCCATGAATGTATCCTGAGTTTTACAGATATCAGACTGGTTAAATCCTGCGCCATGAACAAATTCTTTTCTTTTTTTTTTTTAAAGATGTGTTTATTTGAAAGGCAGAGTTACAGAGAGGGGAAGAGGGAGGGGGAGAGAGAGGGAGGGAGGGAGGGAGATATCTTTCATCTGCTGGTTCACTACCTAAATGGCACAATGGCCAAGGCTAGGCTAGGACAAAGCCAAGAGCGTCATCTGGGTCTCCACATGGGTGAGGGGCCAAAGGACTTGGGCCATCCTCTCCTGCTTTCCCAGGCACATTAGCAGGGAGCTGGATTGAAAGTGGAGCAGCTGGGATGTAAACCAGTGCCCATATGGAATGCTGGTACTGTAAGTGGTGGCTTTACCCACAATGACACAATGCCGGCCCCAGTGAACAAATTCTAAGAATCACTGGATCTCTTCCCATTGTTTGTAGCTTCCTTGATTAAAATTAATTGAATTGGGGCTGATGTTGTGGTGTAGTGGGTAGGGTCACCACTTGCAGTGCTGGCATCCCATATGGGTGTTTGAGTCCCGGCTGCTCCACTTGTGATACAGCTCTCTGCTATGGCCTGGAAGAGCATTAGAAGATGGCCCAAGTCCTTGGGCCCCTGTACCTGCATGGGAAATCCAGAAGAAGCTCCTGGCCCCGGCTTCAGATTGGCTCAGCTCTGGGTCTTGTGGCCATATGGGAAGTGAACAAGTGGATGGAAGACTGAACCCCGAACCCATGTGAGAGACCCAGAAGAAGCTCCTGACTCGGTTTCAGATCAGCTCAGGTCTGGCCACTGTTGCCATTTGCAGAGTGAACCAGTGGATGGAAGATTCTCTCTCTCTCTCTCTCTTCATGCCTTTCTGTAACTGCATTTCAAATAAATTAATAAATATTAAAATAATTTAATTAAAGTCAACAGGCATAGTAACACTAATATATGTGAGGCCCTGAAGCTTTGGAGGGACTAAAATATGAATAATACATAGTTCCTCATCTTTAAAAGACTCATAAGTCAATAGGGGAGGCAGGCATTCAGATAATTTGCTGTATTTTAAAGCTGTAAGTGTTATAATGAATGTATTGGATTAATAAAAGTGTTATAGGAGCTTGTGGATAAAGGGAAGATTTTACAGGGGAAAGATAATTGAGTTTATCTTTAAAGACTAGGATTATGTAGAGAAAAGAGAGACACTGTAGGGGAAAGGATTTGGAAATGAAATCTTGTGGATACAAGAGTCTGTCTTCAGAGAAGGCAGAGTGGTGAATCCCATTTGGTCAGAACATGTTGATTTTGTTGGTCTGGCAAGAGAGAAGACTGGACAGGCTTGGTTATAAGATTCAGTGTTCTTTATTTTGTAGCAGTGAACTTGTAATAAATGATTATGAGTGTCTCAGTATTTAGGAAGATAATGCCACTGTGGAGCTGAAATTGCAGAGTGGAGAGACTGAGAAATGGGTGTCAGTAGCACACAGGGAGAGGAGAGTGGAATGGGGAAAGAAGGGGTCTACAGTGAGATTTTGAGTAATGCAGCAATTATCAATGACCTCAGAGAGGAAATGCCGATGGAGTGGTGGGTCATGGAAGCCAATGTGCTTTGAACTGAGGGTACCTAGACAGGGGAGGGAGACTTACAAGTGCACTGGTGCAAAGTCTGGAGACTGAAGAGAAGAGAGGCATGAAGGAGCAGCCGAGAAACAGGACCAAAGAAGATTGGGCAGGATGGGGAAGAAGTGTGTGGGCTGCAAGAGGGAGGGTGGGATGGGAAAGAGGGGCAGATGGGATCTAGAGCAAAGACGCAGAATTTGGTGTGAAAGACACTCTCAGGCTAAAATATTCTATGCTTCACTTTCCTTCTTCTGTATTTAAAAAACCTTCATGTTCCATTGAGGGTTGGATATGAAAATATGCACAAAAGGTGTTTGGAAATCACTGTCTTGTGGTGAGATGGGCAGATCAGGTTCTGGGCAGTACTGTTAGTGCCATAGCAGAGACGGGTAGCAAATGTGACAGGAGCTCCAAGAGAGGAGTGATGGCTGCTTCTGCATTCCTTGTGTGAGAGAAAATGAGCCTTCACAGAAGAGGTGAGATTTGACGGGGCAGGAATTTGTCAGGCAGAAGAATTTGAGGTAGAAAGAACAGGAGGAATGAAGCAAGGGAGGGGTATGAAGATGGCCTAGCCAGCCAATGAGATGCCAGAGAATGGAGCAGCAGGCCCGGTGGAGGCCAGAGGTGTGAGATGGCGTGGAGGCAGGTGGGAATGGTGGAGACAGGACAGGGAAACTTCTCAGGCTTAATCCTACAGGAAATGGGAAACCATTTGAGGTTTCTCAGTAAAAGAGATTCCTTTCAAGGAAGGCTGGTTCAGATGGCCTAGAGGTCAGAGGTAGGGGCTCTGTCAGTGGGTTATTAGAAAAATCCAGATCATAAGGATAATAGTGGGGACTGGCATTGTGGCGTAGCAGGTAAAGCCGCAGTCTGTGATGCCAGCATCCCATAAGGGCACCTGTGTCCTGGTTGCTCCACTTGCAAGCCAGCTCCCTGCTGATGTGCCTGGGAAAAGCGTTGGAAGATGGCTCACATGTTTGGCCTCTGCCACCCCTGTGGGAGACTTAGAAGAAGCTCCTGGCTCCTGGTTTCAGCCTGGCCCAGCCCTGACCATTGCGGCCATTTGGGAAGTGAACCAGTGGATGGAAGATCTCTCTCTCTCTCTCTCTCTCTCTCTCTCTCTGTCTCTCCCTCTGTCTCTGTAACTCCAAGTTTCAAATAAAATAAATAAAAATCTTTAAGAAAATAAAGTAAGTATAGCATTGTACACCTTAAAAAAAGAAGATAATAGTGATTTGGATGAAAGAGAAGTCTTGTGAATGAAGATATGGGAAGATTTGGGAAGTTTGGGACAGTAAGACTTTTTTCCTATTTGATATATGAAAGGTATGTGGTTGAAATCAAAATTTTGATTTTGAAGAGAAAGATTGTACCTGAGTACAATATAGTAAATTGGAGGTAATCTAACTGCTGGCTGGACAGCTGGCCCTAGATGGCCCATGAGCACTTTACATATTTTCAAGACAGAAATGGTTTCTCAGATTCACACCCTCCTGTTTCAGTGATGGTGGTAATTGTCTCTACTTGCCCAAACCGTCCTCAGTATTTCTTTTCTGTACTCATTTAAAAGGTGGAAAGACAGAGAGCGCCCATCTGCTAATTCACCCTCTAAATGCCTGGGAGACCAAAGCTGGAAGCTGGGAACTTAATCCCGGTCTTCTATGTGGGTGGCAGGGATCCAACTACTTGATCCTTTACCTGCTGCTCTCCAGGGTCGCATTGGCAAGAAACTAGATTCAGGAGCTGGAACTGGGACTCAGACTCAGCACTCTTACTGGGATGTGGACATCTGGATTGGCATGTTAACTTCTAGGTCAAATGCCTAATCCTGGATTGCTTTTAAGTTTTTTTTCTCTGATATGTTCTAAGTTGCTTGAGGCTAGGGGAAACATATTATTCTATGTTTCTCCAGGGTCTAGAATAAGTGTCAGTATATATTATTTGAATTATGGGAGAAATGTATCAAAGGCAAGAATTTCAGATGAATTTGTACCTCTTCCATTCTCTCCATGTAACTGAATTATTAATTTTCACTTGAATTATGCCAAAGTAACTCTGGTTTATGGAAGCACCTTATATAACATAATTTTGCCCATTGTGACTTTTCTACTGATAACTGCATATGAAATGCATATTGTTGTAAGGGTGGTACTATGGAAAACTGAAAAGCCAAGTTGTACTGAGTTTAAATGCTAAATGCAGGTGATTTAGGCTTGCACAAGATAAGGAATGCACAGTTCCCCATTCCTGCTAAACTGTGATTCACATGAACAAAACATGTAGTCATCCTTCACTTTTATGGAGTTAGAAGTTTCCAGCAGTCTGAATCTTCTGTGTGGTATAGCTAAAATCCTTGAAATAGGTGCTTCCTCTGTGCAGTCGTGGCATGGTCCCATCTTAATCCTTTTTCCCCTAAGTAGACCCCTACCTGTTAAGAAGGTGGATCTCATATAGAAATACAAGTCTATTTTATGTAAAATACAAGCAAGAGCAGTTAGGTCACTTTCATACATGCAGATTGGAAATGAACAGTTCCAGAAAGAGAGAGAGAGAGAGGTGATACAACCTTAAGTAGTGACAACCTGATGAGACAAAAAGCAACCTATGATATTACAGAAGAATGCAATAGGATATATGTGTAACAAGTATGACCCATAAAGAAGAGATTAAATTGCATTTATATGTGTGCTATTTAGCAAAATGGAAAGTAGACACAAATACTTTCATCCTGGTGATTAAAACATAGATAATTCTGGGCTTTAAGCTAGTGTGCTTCAGTCAGTAGGAAATTATAATATTTAAACATTTAGTTGACTGAAAATGCCAGATGGATGAAAAGTGACTCCAATGAGAAGAAAATAGCAAAGATAGAACCCAAATCATGAAATTACAATATAGAAAGCCACTGATTGATTTACTCATCCAGGACGCACTTGGTAAGCAGTATTATGTGTCTGGGCATGGCCAGATAAGCTGTAGAAATCAAATGGAGGAAGACCTTAACTAGTTTAGTAATTTTACTCTGTTAAAATATGGATCTTAATTTCCCTCATCTAGCTCCATTTGAGGATGTTGTTCATTTAACTCTGATGCATTAACATTTTGAAAGCTATTTTCAAAGTATTATAATTTCAAGAAAACTCAAAATGTTGTTAAAATTGTGCTTGTATGAAGAGCTTTGACTGTGGGACCATCTGTAGAGCCTGACAAGAGTTCAGTTGTCAGTTTCTGCCTTTGAGGGTCCAGTGAGGTTGGAAAATTCCTAAATTCTATGGAAGGTGCATGGATGGGCGGATTCCAGGGACTGGATTATCCAGGGTAGAGGGACATGGTTGCTGTATCGGGTGGCCAAAGTCGAGAGAAGAGGATGTAATTGGGAGCATAGCCAGATTTGTCATATGACTGGGTTGAGAACAGTGCATAATATTAAGTTGAACATCAAGAACATTGACCAGAAGAGTCCAAAGAGTATTTGGATAAGCAGCAGGGCAGGAATTGGCAGGTTGGTTCAGGAATTCATAGCCAAGTACTGAGGTCATGATCTGGGTTCTGTGCTGTGTTTGAAGAGAACTGTCTGTCAGCTTGGGGGCAAGAAAAGGATTCTTGAGATTGTTCATTTATGTTACTTTTGTACCTAATTTGTTTTTGTTCCTGGGTTTAGTATCTTAAATTTCTGGACGAGCTTTCAGAGAAAATGAAACTGGACCAGATGGCTGCTGAACTTGGCTTTGATATGCGTCTGGATGTGGTTTTAGCTCGCACAGAGCAGCTGGTCCGACTTGAGAGCAACGCAGTCATCGAGAACAAGACAATTGCCCACAATTTACAGAGAAAGGTAGGGATGTTGCAAGTTGGCTAGAGTTGAGAGAGGGGATTTATGAAAGGCCAAACACTGAAAAACAAGTTACATGCACCCACCATATTTACCAGTGTGGCTAAGAGACATAGAAAGATGTATATTTAGGATTTGAGTCTTGCTTCCAAGTCCAAAGAGTTGGTAAGTATGTCTGTCACCCAAGGTTTTGCTTCAAAAATGAGTAACTGGGACTCCAGTAACAGTGGCTTAAACAAATAAAAGTGATTTTTTTTTCTTTTCTCAAATGCATTTCTGGAAACAGGCAGCTTAGCCTTGCTGTATACTTTTTTTTTTAAGGAGTCAAGCTCATTTCAACTAACTAATATCCCATCCATAGGATGGTCCTTATTGTCTTGGTTCAAAATCATGTCTAGAACCATTATATCTGGTTCTGGCCATAATGTTGGAGAAGAAAGGGAGGAATAAGAGAATGCAAAAGAACATGCAAAGCTGTCTTTTGAAGAAGGTGCCCATAATTTGCTATGTGAACTTTGGTTTATACCCTTAGCCTGAATGTTCTGAAGGTCAAATGTCACCGTAAGGCAGGCTTGACAATGTATTCTTAACTCTGGGTAGCCATTTGTGTAGCTTCAGAAATTCAGTTTCTACTCCTTTGGGAAAGAGGAGAACCAGAGGAATGTGCAGCAATGCTTGCATTTATGAACTCTACTGACCTAGAAAATGGAAGATGGATCCCTCTTCATTTACTCAGAGGAAAAGCTAGAAATAGTTTAGATTAAGTAAATGAGTGAATGGGTGAAAGGGATAAAGTATAATTATTAGTTGTGTAATTATTGGTATGGAGGAAAGAAATAGGAAAACACAGATGTACTCTTATAATAAATTTTTAGGAGAAAATTCTGTGGCATAATTCTAATATAGAGGCTGCATTGTGAATCACATCTGGGTTCCCAGTGTCACTCCACCAAGCTGTGTGACCTTGGACAAATTCTCTACTTTTCTGTCTCTGTTTCCTTATATTTAAGTTGAGAATGATGCCAATCTCAAGGTATTATTAACTTATAATAAACAACATTGTTGAACTCCTGGCTCAAGTCACATCTGGCCTCTTCTCCATTTACTATATATTTTGAAATGATTTATAGAAGCAAGCAGATAACTCTCTTTGTCAGAAATTTTAAAGTAAGATACAATTCTTTCCAGAGTTACCTCAGATAATTGATTTTCTTTCTCAATATCCAATATGATTGCTTTTTTTTTTAAAGAGAGAGCTTCCTTTTTTTCTTTTTTTAAAGGTTTATTTATTTATTTGAAAGTCAGAGTTACACAGAGAGAAGGAGAGGCAGAGAGAGAGAGAGAGAGAGAGAGAGAGAGAGAGATATCTTCCATATGTTGGTTCACTCCCCAGTTGGCTGCAATGGCCGTAGCTGCGCCGATCTGAAGCCAGGAGCCAGGAGCTTCTTCCCACGTGGGTGCAGGGGCCCAAGCACTTGGGCCATCTTCTACTGCTTTCTACCATAGCAGAGAGCTGGATCAGAAGTGGAGCAGCGGGTCTTGAACCGGCACCCATATGGGATGCTGGCACTGCAGCTGGCAGCTTTACCCACTACGCCACAGTGCTGGTCCCAATTCCTTCTTAAGAATTATATAATTATTGGGGCTGGTCCTGTGACATAGTAGGTAAAGCTGCCACCTACAGTGCCAGCATCCCACATGGGTGCCAGTTTGCATCCCAGCTGCCCCACTCTTTTTTTTTTTAAGGTTTATTAATTTATTTGAAAGTTGAAAGGCAGTTATGGGCGGGGGAGAGAAAGAGAGAGAGAGAGGTCTTCCATCTGCTGGTTCACTCCCCAAATGGCCTCAATGGCCAGAGCTGGGCCAATCTGAAACCAGGGCCCAGGAGCTTCCTCTGGGTCTCACACGTGGGTGCAGGGGCCCAAGCACTTAGGCCATCTTTCACTGCTTCCCAAGGTCATAGAAGAGAGCTGGAATAGAAGAAGAATAGCCAGGGCATGAATGGGAGGCTGGCACTGCAGGGGGCAGCTTTATCCACTACTCCACAGTGTCAGCCCCTTCTCCACTTCTAATCCAGCTCTCTGTTATGGCCTGTGAAAGCAGTGGAAGGTGGCCCGAGCTCTTGGGCCCCTGTACCTGCATGAGAGACCCAAAAGAAGCTCCTGGATTCTGGCTTCGGATCAGCCCAGCTTTGGCTGTTGTGGCCATTTGGGGAGTGAACCAGCGGATGGAAGATCTTTCTCTCTCTGCTTCTGCCTCTTTGTAATTCTACCTTGCAAATAAATAAATAAAATGTTTTTAAAAATAATTATATAGTTATTAAAATTACCCGTATAAGTTTACAAATGAGTGGAGTTTGACATGAACAGGAAAGGGAGGTTGGTTAGAAAAATACTAAAAGAGGCTCAAATTGATCTGGACTTGAATACAGCTCTTGCCATGAGTCAAGATACTCAAAGCAGCATTTCAGTTAGCCCCTTCCACCTTCTAATATGTGACAGATACAGAGTAGATACTTAGGGAAAATGTGATGATCTTCAGCTCACACTTTCAATGATTCTACATGATTCTGTTTCCCAATATTTCTTTGGTATTTTAGAAATTATTTTATTTATTTTCATTTTATTTGATGGATAGACTCTCTCTCTCTCTCTCTCTCTCTCTCTCTCTCTCTGAGAGAGAGAATCTTCTGTTGCTTCATTCCTCAAATGCAAGCCAGGAGGCTAGAACTCAGTTAACGTCTCCCATGTGGCTTGCAGGGACTTAAGTATTTGAGCCATCACCTGCTACTTCTCGGGGCAGGCATTAGCAGGAATCTGGATTAGCTCAGAGGAGCTGAACCAGGTCCTCTGAGGTGGAATGTGGGATGTGGGTGCCTCTGTGCCGTATGTCCATCCCAGCTTCCCAACATTTCTACAGTATGCAGGGAGGAGGGAACTCCATTCCAGTCTCCCTTGGGGGTGGCAGGGGTTTCTGTATTTAATATACATTTACTCACTGTGGCATGGGGGACCCAGGAGGACTTCTTCCCTCGTAGAATCCATGGCTGTTTTCTGAAAGTCATTCTGCTTTCCCTCACTTGATTGTCAATGGTAAGTGATTTTTGAGGACTTTGTTTTTTGCTTGGTTTGTGAATCTTACAGGGCAGACATATAACAAGGGAACCAGTGAACTAAAACCTCCTTGAAATCTGTTTTATTTCCAAGATTTTAAACATATAAACAAAACTTTCTTAAAGATTTCTTTGGTATATCCTACTTGAGAAACATAGTAACTTTCATGTTGGGTGCCACTCAGCTCAGTTCTAAGGGATTGAAATTAGCCAGTACTAACTTGCACCCTATCTTGTTTCAGAAAACACCAGTGCAGATATCATAGTCATTGAGAGTTGGAGAGCATTTTGTCTCTGTCATTATATTCTGCTCTGAGAAGCCCATTTTAGTAGCCTTAAAAGTAATTTCGTATTTTATTATGCACATAATGTTACAGAGAATCACACGTTGAATGCCAACTCCTTTGCACATCTTCTGTGGTTCTTTTGTCCCTTACTTTGCAACTGCAAAATTAATTCTTGGAAAAAATATTAATAAAATATGCAATCAAAAAAGGAACCCAGTGACCTTTTTTGAGGGTTTACAAATTAGTCCTATTGAAGCATAGATAAAAATCGACATAATTCATTTATGTTTACTGATGTTCAATTACTGAAAAAAAACCAAAACCCTATTTGTATCAAACCAGCTAAAGACTCAGAAAGAAAGACTGGAGAGTAAAGAACTACACATGAACCTTCTCCGGCAGAAAATAGCCCAGCTGGAGGAGGAGAAGCAGGTGCGCACGGCCTTGCTGGTGGAGAGGGACGAGGCCCATCTCACCATCAGGAAGCTGGAGAAGAAAGTGGAGAGGCTGCAGAAGGATCTGAGCATGTGTCGAGACTCTAACACGGAGCTCAAAGCCAAGCTGGCTGATACCAATGAGCTTAAGGCAAGTGCACAGCTTCTATTCCTTATTACTTTTTCTCTAGTTACAGTCAAGATATATGCAAATGAGGGGGTGGGCATTTGGCCTTTTGGTTAAGATGCCTGCATTCTATATACATGTCCCACATCTGAAGACCTGCTATTGGATTCCTGGCTCCTGCTCCTGCTTCCTACTGACGCAAACCTAGGGAGGCAGCAGTGATAGCTCAAGTGATTGAGTTCCTGACACCTACATGGGACTCCTGGATAAAATTCTCTGCTCCCTGTGTGTTGTGGAATTAGGATATAGGCATTCTCTCTCTTACTGTCTCTGTCTCTTTAATAAATAAATTTAAAAAGAATTTAAGAGCTGGTGCGTCCCATAGTGGATAAAGCTGCCACTTGCAATGCTGGCATCCCAGATGTCCTGGCTGCTCCACTTCTGATCCAGCTCCCTGCCAATGGCCTGGGAAAAACAGTAGAAGGTGGCCCAGGTTCTTGGGCCCCTGCCACCCACATGGGAGACCTAGAGGAGGCTCCTGGCTTCTGGCTTTCATCTGGCCCAGATCTGGGCATTGCAGCTTTGCAGCTATTTGGGGAGTGAACCAGTGGATGGAAGATTGATCGATTGATTCTCTCTCTCTCTCTAATACTTTCAAAATAAATAAATCTTTAAAAATTTTAAAAATATATGCAAATGAGTGGTGGCTTTGTAATGGGTTCAGAAAGAAAATATAGAAAAAATAAAGAAAATAAGCATTTTCTGATTTTCTAGAGGTGTAGAAAAATGCAGAAAGTATAAAAATCAGCATATTTTATCCATTTAGGATCTCTTCAATATGTTTAATGAAGCCACTGCTGCTGTGTGAAAAGTCAGTCATTTGATAAAAACAGGCAATTAGCACTTTGGTTGTTTTGAGCCACACTGTATGCATGTGTTAGAATATTGCACTATACCTCTTAAAATGTGCAAGTGTTACATGTCAATTAAAATTTAAAAATAACTTGAATTGTATTGAAATAATAGACAAATAAAAGGTTATGGAGGAGTGACTCTAATCATGTGTTTTAGGAAGTGCTACAAGAGAGGGGCTGGAAGTCTCTAAACATAAAAGGGAGGAAGATAGAAATGTTAATTACCTGATTTGTTCAGTGCATGCTGTTTACTTGTATTGAAATATCCCACTCCATAATATCACACCCCATAAATACTATGTACAATTATTACATGTACATGATTACATTCAGTGTGTATAAAATTCTTGTGGAATATGTCAATGCACAAAAGTGATTAATAAATAAAAAATGTTAGTGTTAAGTACAGAAAAGAAAAATATGTCTTGAAAATGTACCAGGAGGGGCACACATTGTGGCGCAGTGGATCAAGCCACTACTTGGGATGCCTGTTATACTGGAGTGCCTGGGATCAAGTCCTGCCTCTGCCTCAGATCCAGTTTCTGCTAATGTGTCAGGAAGACAGAAGATGATGTCCCAAGTACTTGAGTTCCTTGCCATCCATGTGGGAGACCTGGATGGAGTGCCTGGCCCCTGACTTCAGCCTGGCTTAGCCCTGGCTGTAGTGAACATTTGGGAAGTGAATCAGCGAACAGAAGATCTCTGTCTTTGTCACTCTGCTTTTTAAATTAGTAAAAATTAATACATAGATGTTTTTGAAAATAGTATACCAGGAGTCTTCAAAGAGTTCATGAAAAATGTACACTGCCTTTAAAAAAAAGCTCTTGTATTTATTTTCATTTTATCTGAAAGGCAGAGATCGAGAGAGAGAGAGAGAGAGAGAGATATCTTTTATATGCTGCTTTGCTCCTAAAAGGCCTTCAATAGCTGCGCTTGCCTAGGCTTTACTAAACCAGGAGCTGGGAACTCAGTCTGGGTCTCCCATGTGAGTGTCAGGGACCCAAGTACTTGACCCATCACTTGCTACCTCCCAGGGTGTGCATTAGCAGGAAGTTGGAATAATAAATGGAGCCAAGATTTGAACTAAACCCGCTGATATGGGAGGTAGATGCCCAAGCCATGACTTAACCACCATGCCAAATGCCTACCCCATATTATATTTTTGAAAGCTTTTATTTACTGTTTGATTTGAAAGGCAGAAAAAGAATGATCTATCTATCATCGATCTATTGATCTATCGATCTATCTATTGATCTGTCTACCTGCCTATCTCTCCCACATGGGTGGCAGGGATCCAAGTACATCATCTGCTGTCTCCCAGAGAGTGAATTAACAGGAAGTTGGATTGGAAGCAGAGGTAGAACTCTAATCCCAGGGACTTTGGCATGGGATGCAGGTGTCTTAAGCAGGGACCTAATTTGCTGTACCACAATACCTGCTCCAATATTATCTTTTAATTCCATTTCCTACAGACTTTTGAAAGTACCCTAATAGGTGACTGTGGGATTAGAGGTTATACGAGGATTTATGCCATATAAATTTGTGTTCTGATGAATACAGAGAAGAAATACAGAGAAGAAAGAAATTAAAATGACAAGAATTTTATCAAAATATTTAAATGTCATACATGCACCACTAGCAATAATGTGTGACTCCATATGTACACGTCATCACCAGCAGATGTGCACAGCACAGATACATCAGACAAAAAAATAAAATCCTGGCTCCACACAGACCAGTACTCTTAAACTGTCTTCTTGGAATGTTTCTGAATTTGGAAACCAGTTAAGAAAGAGACTCTGGAATTAAGCCAGCCGCTGAACATGTGGACAGAATACAATATTGTAGAAAACATTTCCCACTGCATTTTCCCTTTTGACTAATTAGCTCCCTTCCTCCCACACAAGCCCTTCTGTCATCAGGACTAGGCCAAGATGTGGAGGCAAATTTCCCTAGAGAACGAGAGTGCAAACTTGGTCCTGGGGGAACACACAACATATGTGCATACAGGGGGAGGGATAAGCAAGGGAAAGCGCCTGATGGGGTGCCTTGAGTGGGGGAAGATTTCAGCAGTGTTTCTCTAACGCCCCCTCTTGCCTCGAGACCAACCTCTAGGGGGTGTAGTAGGGTGGAGGTAGAAGCCCTGAAGTCAGTGTCAGCTGTTCCCACCCTGGCTAGAGGTACGAAGGCAGGGGGCCTAGATTTCACCTGATTCCCTAGAGCTTGAGCCCCATTCATGCTGGTGGGGGATGAGGATGATATTGAAGATATGTGCTGGGCAGCTGATTATGGGCCAGATGGGGGTGGTGCCTTCAGAGGAGGGACAGTGACCCCCTCTCCACCTTCCTCAGTCAGAGGCTGTGGGGTGATCTCCTATGCTGTGATCCAATGGCAGTCACAGCCAAGCCTTGAATGAGCAAAGGTCAGAGACAGGGGCCTTGGCGCTGATGAGGGAACCCTTACAAGTTTCCCCAAGCAGTAGATGCAGAAGTGATTTGAGGACAGCCTGTGGGCCAGAGTCACCTCTCCTGACACCACAAAGCTTTTTCTTCACCCAGACACTATCTCAGGAAGAAGCAAGAGAGAGAAGAGTCCCCAAAAGATTGAACAATATATGAAGAACAGCAAAATTTTACTTTATTTTATTCTTTTTATGGAGAAAACTCTAGAACCTTATTAAGGAAAAGAGAAGATAACTCTGATTAAAGTATGGGTGTGTTATGTTGTTTGATAGGAATTTCATAATTTATTTGATTTTTCTAGAAAACAAATTTTGAACCAAGAAAGTTATAAGTACCAACTACCCTAACAATTTGGAGTGAGGGCAGTGGGGAGTTGGTTTCCAAAGAACCCGGCCGTATATCTCGTGGCTAATCTGGCCAGGACCCTGCCTGACATTGCTTCTGACTGTAGGGTGTGCTGTGTTCTTCTCCAGCCTGCAGACCCTTGTCCTCCTCTGCCTTCCTGGAACTTGGGGCTATGGCAGCATTGCTAGTTAGAAAGAATAAAGGGCCTCTGCATACTTTTAAAGAAACCAAAAAAGGAAACCAGTGGCAAGAGCTAGTAGTTGGGGAATGTCGTGGAACAAGAAAGGATATCTCCAATGTGTGATGTAGAGCTTTGAAAATGAAGCAAAATGCTGGGCTCCAGAGTAAAGTGAAGTCACAGGCCTGATCTAATACTTGAAGAATCCCTCTTACTCCTACAGAGGGGTTGTGTGGAGACAGGATAGGGCCAGTCAGGAGCTATACTGGCTTGGCTTTCATGGACATAGAAGGAAAAAATGAAATCCTCTCCTGTATCTTTTTATTAATAGTATTTCTTTTTTTCTTATATTTTTAAAATTTTATTTAAGGTATACAAGTTTCATGTATTTCATACACAGACATTTAAGAAAATAGCGATACTTCCCATCCTACCTTCCCTCCCACCCACACTTCTTCCTCCTCCCTTTCCCATTCTCTTAATTTTTTATTATTATTTATTTACTTATTTTTATTTCACAGGAAGAGTTAGACAATGAGAGAGAGAGACAGAGAGAAAGGTCTTCCTTCACTGGTTCACCACCCAAATGGCCGCTACTGCCAGTGTGCTGGCACTGATCCGAAGCCAGGAGCCAGGTACTTCCTCCTGGTCTCCCATGCAGGTGCAGGGCCCAAGCACTTGGGCCATCCTCCACTGCCTTCCCGGGTCACAGCAGAGAGCTGGACTGGAAGAGGAGCAATCGGGACTAGAACCCAACACCCATATGGGATGCCAGCGCCACAGGCAGAGGATTAACCAAGCAAGCCTCGGTGCCAGCTCCCTCACTCTTAATTTTTACAAAGATCTATTTTGTTTGCTTTACACTCGTAAGGTTAAACCTACACTAAATAAAGAGTTCAACAAATAGTATGAAGGAAATAGCACTGTTCTTCAACAGAAGAGACAAAGGCTGTAAACAATCATCAAATCTCAAAATGTCCATTTCGTTCAAATGCATTATATATGTACATATTTTTTTGACAGGCAGAGTTAGACATTGAGAGAGAAAGAGAGACAGAGAGAAAGGTCTTCCTTCCGTTGGTTCACCCCCAAAATGGCTGCTATGGCCAGCGCGCTGCGCCGATT